CCATTCAATTCTTGTTCGTTTTTTTTTGTAAGTTGATTCAATAAATATTCACATATGTACTATTCGGTTAATTCTTTCATTCAATCAATATTATTCATGTAATCTATGCCTCTTATAATTATTAAAGTTCATTTCAGGTCAAAGAATTAGTTGAATGAATACATATATATATATATATATATATATATATATATATATATATATATATATATATATATATATATATATATGGATTATAAAATCATTCACCTAATGGACTTATATTTGATATATTAGAGTTACTCAATGTCATATACATTTCGAATATTACAGTTGAATAAGTTATCTCCTTAAAAACAAGAGTTCAGATATGGTAGGATTCCTCTTTTTGTTGTTATATATTAAAGTGATTTTTGACCCCCAAATGCCCTGGTACGGCTGAGAGTGGGGCGAGTCCACCCTCCTTCGAAAAATGCTCTCACATGGCCATGCGTATATAGCCTCTGGCAAGGATAAGTGATTTGTAGTAAGGTGATGCTACATTTTTTAATATCTCAATAAATAGATAATTTGATTAAATTTCTTTCCGGTTTCCAGTTTTTGATACATGCTTAGTCTTTTGTAAAAGTTACATAATAAGTAATTAAATTTCGTTACATGTCATCGAAGCGTATTTCATACTTGCTTCCGTTGGTTCAGTCCTAGTTGTCTGGTGGTAATATCATTATCAGTCTTCATATATAGTGTAACTCAAAGACAAACCTGTGTATGGTATTGAATCGTAGTAAATTGTTAGAATATATGATGGGTATGATTTACTTGAAAATAACACCTTGTAAAAGAATTGATCTTACGAATTATTTTTGATATCATAACATCTGGATATTGAAACTAAGTAATTACATTGGTGTAAATGAGGTATGTTAGTGATTACATCCAATATGTGAAGGAATGGTAACTACATTATCTCAATGTAGAGTTTGAACCTGTGACGTAATAGTCGATGTCGAGTTGTTTAATTAATACTCTTGTTAGTTTTCATGTATCACAGTCAGTCAGTTAGCTGCAACGTAGGATCAGGCGCATATATGAATCGGTCTAGGCATCCAGGCAGTATCACAGCCCATACACAAATCAAGTGACTTAATTGGCACATATATATTCGGTGCTACTTTGTACCAATATTTATGTGTTTAAATAAATAATCCTATTTATTTATTTGAACACAAATATTGGTACAAAGCAGCACCAAATACATAAGCGCCACACAGATCTCATGTGATATGTGTTGGGGCTGTGATACTGCCCGGGTGCCCAAACCGAAGCAGGTGGTTTCCTTAGAAGGCCACACCCCGAGCCGTTGACCTGAAGACCTGATCCACAAGGCAGTGGAGCATCGTGAGGAGATGAAGTACCATGATAGCCGGTGACCAACGATTGGTTCATACGTCATTTGTTCCTTCAGGATCCTGGACCCAGCCCATGTGCACCATTGAATTGGTATGCGGTTAAAGCGCTGGACATTCGCTTTTCGTCCTCTCATCTTCGTAGACAACACCCCCGCTACAAGAAGGCAGTGAGTAGGACTTCTCTGACAGAGGCTATATACTCTTGGCCATGTGAGAGCATTTCGAGAGGGAGGACGGTCCCACTCCTCTCTCAGCCATACCAGGGCATTTTGGGGCCATCCGATCTGATCATCACCTAGCGATCAACCAATTGTAAATATTATTAGCATCGTATAGAAGTGAATCATTTTTTCTTTTAATCATCTGTGTTAATTTTATTTTTCCATTTGACATTGAGTATTATTAAATGTTCTGTACAGGATAATATCTATATCACATGTCTACATTTTTGACCCTAATTTGTTTAATCACGTCATATTATGATAATCGTTATTGCTAGATTAAATTATTCATATTTTGGATTAGCCTAAAATTGCATAATTTTTGGCTCATTGATAGGTGTTCTTCTTCATCTTTCTATTGTGATTCGTTTTTTCATCTACTTATGAATATAGAAGTATATCTCCTTGAAGTTCTATCAAACAGTGAACAACATTGATATCCATTGAATTTTGAGACCTTTTTAATTGAGATCATGAACCAATTAATGTTCGACCACCATTGTAAACTTAGAAACACTGGACAGTTGCTTCATCTTATTGTCGGATCCCTCAGTGATAGTGCGCATCCATGATTTCACCTTGCGGTATTCGAACCTAGTTTATTTATTGATTCGTAATGTATTTTAGCACATAGATATTGGTACAAGGAGGCACCAAATACATATGCGCCACACAGATCTCATTTGATATGTGTGAGGGCTGTGATACTGCCCGGGTGCCCAAACCGAGACAGGTGGTTTCCTTAGGGGGCCACATCCCGAGCCTTCGACCTGAAGATCTGATCCACAAGGTAATGGAGCATCGTGAGGAGATGCAGTCTCATGGTAGCCGGTCAACAATAATTGGTTCATATGTCATTTGTTCCTTCAGGATACTGGAGCCCATGTGCACCAATGGTTTTGGATTCGGTTAAAGCGCCGGACATTCGTTTTTCGTCCTCTTATTTTCGTAAACAACACCCCCGCCACAAGGAGGCAGTTAGTAGGACTTCCCTGACAGAGGCTGTATACGCGTGGCCATGTGAGAGCATTTGGAGAGGGAAAGCGGACTCTCCCAACCCTCGGCCGTACTAGGGCATTTGGGGGCTTTCCAACCTAGAGCCTTCGGTCTCTCATGCGAATGCTTATACTTGAGACCAATAAGTTAGCATCCAATAGTGTTAATGTTTAATCTCAACCATAAAATCTTTTAAAACTTTCTATAGTTCATTTTAGAAATACAAGAAATCACAAGTTTTTATCGTTTTATAACTTTTATTTAACTATATTCATGTAAAAATTGAACTGTGAATGTATTTAACAGAGAACATTAAATGTATTTTGATTCAATTTTCTCTAAGCTAAATTAACTCTATGTATTAATGTGTTGTTGTTGTTGTTGTCGTCATATTGTTTGAACTGATAACTTGGTCTTTTTTCCCTTCTTTTTTCTATAATTCCTTGGGTGTTCATTTATCTAAGTCGTTTTAATGCATGAGTTCAATGTGACAAGATAAAGAAAAAAAAAATAACCATAGTTAAATCTACTTTAAAAGTTGATAGTTCTTTGAAGGTGGACACTAAATAATTGTTTTCATTATGACAGATTTTATTCAATACCGATATTCATTTGTGTAACATACTACTTATATTTCATATGTTAAGTTGTAGTTTTTGTTGTTTTTTTTTCTTCTTTAACAAGAATGTTTAATAATAAGTTACTTTATTGAGCTGGTGGTCTTAGTCCTCTTATATTGTTATATTAATTATCTTTCTATGTTATATCGATATAAATACGCCTACTTATAAATAATCAATCATATAATCTAAAAGCATTGGACAACCGTTTCATCTTATTTTGGGACTCTTCAGCAGTACACATTCAAGAGTCTCATATTAAGATGAAATGGCCGTCCAGTGCTTCTTGGTTTTCAATTATGATCTAACATCAATAACTAAATAATCTCTACAATCCTATTATTGATAATTATCATATAATTGTTAGAAAGAGATAAAACATAACAACATAATAGATATCCTACTAATCTGTTAGACTATGATAATAATAATAATAATTAGGCTTCTTTTTGTTGTTATATTACGTTTTTGAGTATGTAGCACTTTTATATGAGTTGTAGTGAAATGAGTAGTTGATTATCCTGTTGATGACTTATTCCGAAGAGGGGGGGAATACGTTTTATGGGACATTCTGTGAAAGCATACTTTTGTATTATGGAAGTTTATTTATTTATTTATTTTAACACATAGTTATAGGTACAGAGAGGCACCAAGTACATATGAGCCACACGAATCTCAATTAATTTTTGTGAGGGCTGTGATACTGCTCGGGTGCCCAAACCGAAGCAGGTGGTTTCCTTAGGGGTCCACACCCCGAGGCTTCGACTTGAACGTCTGACCCACAAGGCAATGGAGCATCGTGAGAAGATGCAGTTCCATGGTAGCCGGTGACCAACGATTGGTTCATACGCCATTTGTTCCTTCAGGATCCTGAACCCAGCCCATGTGCACCATTGGTTTACTGTTTCTTTGAGCACTAGACTTAAATGATTAAGAGTGATATAGCATGCACTAAATACCATACTGGATAATGAATATTTATATGTATGAGGCTGCATTGGTCTTTTTAAGACTTTAAATAATGATGAGTACCAGTCAATGTAATATTTAGGATTAGGATTTGATTAACTCCAGTCATTCGACTTGAAACTAAATACTCTACGATGACCAATTCTTTGATTTAATGCTCATACTACATCTTGACCAATAAAAAACAATGAGCACAAAGGACTAAACATCGTAACATTTATTACTAATAAGTGATAGTAATATACTGAGCAACAATGTCAGGATGTTTGGGATGCGTTTCTTCTCTTTTAAATGCAAACTGTTGCTTCAGAACTGGCCTAAGTCAACATCTGAACTAAGGACAGAGAATAAAGTAGTCAAACGCGTCGACAATTTTACTTGTCTTGGAAATCCAACCAGCCTTAATGGGTTGATGTCGTATGACATCTCTGTACGGATTCGAAAAGCTCGTTTGGCTTTTGTCAACTTACGTCATCTATGGTGAGGGAGAAATATTCGTTTATAGATTAAAGGATAGGTATACTGTGAAGCAGTTCGTTCTGTATTAATTTACGGCTACGAAGCTTGGTCATTAAGGGTAGAGAATACTTGTAAGTTACTAATATTTGATTACAGATATTTTAGAAATATTGCCAACATCTACTAGGCTCACCGGGTAAGTAATATTAAGGTTAGATGCTCAGAGTATTAGAGACCTCCATAACAAATTTATAAACATTTAGTCTTACGAAACCATTTCGATTTGAAGAAAATAATTCTTTCCATCCTGTCCTACAAAGTTTTCTTCTACTTTTATTATTTCACAGCTATTAGAATTATTCGACAGTGAAGATCCTCGTGAACGTGATCTTGTCAAAACTATTTTACATCGTGTATATGGGAAATTTCTTGGATTACGTGCATTTATCCGTAAACAATTTGGTAACATATTTTATAAGTAAGATTAATTTATTAATTATCACTATTATCATTATTATGATTAACACCTTTGGATGCCGTCTCAGTGGTCTACTGGTTAAGTGCTCGCTCGCGAAACCAGTAGGTCCTGGGTTGGAATCTCACACGGGCGAGGTCGTGGGTGCGCACTGCTGAGGAGTGCCATAATAGGACAAAACGGCCGTTTAGTGTTTCCAGGTTTTCCATGGTGGTCTAGCTTCAACTGACCCATGATCATAACCATTGATATTACCAACAATAATAATGATAGTAATATAACAAATGCTTTAATCCATCTGGTATTGTTTTAATTGAATCTTCCCATTGATGTTTAGAACTGCAATTGATCAGTCTCTTATTGGCATATATCCATAAGGTGCGTATTGCCTCAATATTGCCTTAAGTCAAAAGCTTTTTAAGCAAAGATGGATGGTGGCTAGCAGTGGAATCCAGTTTGACGCGCGCTTCGTCCTATTTGTGACTTATCAGCTGGATGATGAACCTGCATCTCAGAGTTGATGTTCATTCTGGGTTTCAACCTTAGTACTGTTCTCTTCAAACTTAGGTTCGAGTCTCAGAGTGAACACCAACTCTGAGATGCAAGTACATCCAGCTGACGAGTCTCAAATAGGATGAAACGCGCATCCTGGATTCCACTGCCAGTCACCATCCATCTTCGTTTAAAATGCTTTAATCTGAAGAAGTTATTTTTCTATATACATTGCATATATCATGTTTCGTTTGATTCTGTTCCATATGTATAGTTTTATGTTTTCCTACTATATCATTCTCATGTTTAAATAAAGTCATGCTTGCGGCGTGTAACGATGGGTTATTTTGTTAGTTTATTTTTCAAAATAGCGATACTGATCAGTGTCCTGTAAGAAGGCTGTATTTAACTTTTGCATTGCTATCTATCTAAATGTCCAATGCTTTAGTCAGTCACTCAGCTGCAACGTAGGACCAGGCACGTATATGCATCGGTCCAAGTTGCCATACCGCATTAGCACAACAAGATGAACACCGGATTCATAGAAGTAGTTAATTCCGTGGTGGTAATATGTAGAAGAAAGAGTGTGTATAAGGAGATAGTACAGGAAGAAAGAATTAGTTCCTAGAAAGAAAGATTTGAAGTGATTTTAATCTCTTAGTTTAAAGGAAGACAGAGAGTGAATACACCGACGTCATTGTGATCGATTCTGAGCCATGTCACCAAGAGTCTCCAACCATTGGTTACGATAGTCACGCGGATTCCAACCAGGTAGTCTGCATCTACCAACATGGCTCAGACCAGAAGTTAGTGACTTCAAGCACTGATGCCACGTTTTGGTTTGGCCGCCCCTAACTTTCTTCCAATCATCCCTAACACCGGTTATCATTGCGCGTGGTGGTAATCGGTGTTCAGGCATACGCAGCACGTGGCCCAACCATCTCAGTCGATGAAGGTTCATAACCTCATCAACTGATTTACCATCATTCCCCAATACTCTGTGTCTAACCTCACTATTACTTACCCGGTGATCCCAGCAGATACCCGCAATATTTCTAAGGCACCTGTGGTCAGATACTAGTAACTTACGAATATCTTCTACTCTTAAAGGCCATGTTTCGCAGCCGTATAGTAGAATGGAACGAACTGCCGCGCAGTATACTCGTCCCTTAATTGATAGACGGATATCTCGCCTGCGCCATAGATGACGTAAGTTGGCAAAGGCCAAGAGAGCTTTTCGATAACTTCACTCCCTATCCTTGTTCAGGTGTTGACGCAGACCAGTCCTGAAGCAACAACTTGCATTTGGAGGGAGAGAAGCGCATCCCAAACATTCTGGGATTGTTGCTCAATGCTACCAAAAGACTCTGCTTTTCATCAGCGTCTTCACCAAATAGGACTATGTCATCTGCGTATTCTAAGTCAATAAGTGGACCTCCTAGTAGATCAATGTCCGAGAATTCAGTCGATGAGAACGTTATTTCCATCAGTAGATCTATGATGAAGTTAAACAAAAATGGAGAAAGTGAACAGCCTTGGCGGACGCCACTTTAGGTTGCGAAAGCAAATGACAGTTCGCCATAAGCTCTGACTCGACTAGTAGTGTTCGAGTAAAGAGCCTTCACAAGGTTTATGTACTTCTGAGGTACGCCTTTCAATGACAGACGCTGCCACAGAACCTCTCGGTCAACATAGTCAAACGCTGCTTTTAAGTCAAGGAAGACCATTATTGTCGGACGCCGATAAGTATACCTGTGTTCTAGAACCTGACGAATGGTGAATATGTGGTCGATGCAGCCACGACCAGGTCTGAAGCCAGCCTGATTTTCACGTGTTTGCAGCTCACGAGTCTTAGTTAGGCGTCCGGAAATTATCGAAGCTAGTATTTTAGATATTATATTAGTTAAAATAATCCCTCTGTGGTTGTCACAGGATGATTTTGACCCTTTCTTAAATATTGGGACGATAAGTGATTGTGACCAGTTAGATGGGATAACGTCTAACTCCCAGATTTTAGCTAAAATATTAGTCAACCTAATCGCTAAAACTAGACCACCATCCTTAAAGACCTCTGGGGCCAATGCATCTGGACCAGCTGCCCTTCCTAGTTTTAGATTAGCTATAGCCTTTTGAACTTCAGCTAGAGTTGGGGGACCTACTTCAATGTCCCATTCATACTGTCTGGGAATAGAGGGTAGTTGTAGAGCAGCTGAAAGCCAGCTAAACTGCTCCTTAAAGTGTTCCGCCCATCGTTCTAAGCGTCTGGACTGGGAGCAGATGAGAGTGTCGTTTTTTTTCCGAAATAGTCTGACTTACACTTGATTTATTAATTCCAGTTTCTTTTATTAGTCTGTAGAGTTGTCTTGTGTTCCCTATAGCCGCCGCCTTTTCCATCTCTTGCTTTCGTTGCCCACCACTGCTCACGATCGTTCCTTAAACTTTTGCTTAACCTAGATCTGATTTCTTTACGCTCTTCATCGTGTTCAGAACCTGATGGGATGAATTTACGAGAATCTATCAGTGCAATAGACCTTGAAGAAATCCATTGGTTCTTTGTAACCCTGTGGTTTAAATCACTAGTAGATGTCACTGCTGTTTCCACAGCTGCTTGTATAACTTTCCAAGCAACATCGGGGTCAGTCTCGTTTTCAGAACCACCTAAGTGTGACCTCAGTTGTTCCTGGAACCTAGTTTTGGTTTTCTCATCACTCAATTCGGTTCTAATGAGTCTTATTCGTGTGGCTTTTTTGCGTCCAGTGAGGCTCAAGCAGATGCGTGCTCGTATTAGGGCATGGTCGGAGTCCAAGCAGGTACTCCAGAATAAGCGACAATCTTCTATTGACCCTCTCCAACGATGACTGATGGCAATATGGTCTATTTGAGTCCATCGTTGGTTTGGTGCAGGGGGTCGCCATGTTAGACGATGTCTCTCCTTATGCTTAAAATTTGTGTTTGCTAAAAATAAACGATTGTCTGAGCAAAGTTGCAACAGACGATCACCATTATCTGTTCTCTGTGCCAGAATACTAAAATACCCACCTAAATGTCTTTCTGTTTCGCTTAAGCTACCTACCTGGGCATTAAAGTCGCCTGCTACGAGTACTATGTCTGAACGTTTAGCTTTCTGAAGAAGTTCAGACAGCTTTCTGTAAAATTCATCTTTCACTTCATCGGAACTGCAGTCAGTGGGAGCGTAGGCAGAAACGACGAAAAGGCAACGAAGTGTGTCCCTATCCTTTCGAGTTCTTACGGGGCCGTTTAGCCGAACAGCGCATAGACGACTATTAACGGGGATCCACTCTAATAGCGCTTGTTCCGCCTTCATGCTAAGTGCTATGCCTACACCTGCCAGTCCACGAGAACTAGCCATCGGGTCGCCAGATACACGGAGGGTGTATCTCGTCAGCACTCCGTTTTGCCGAGGTGAGGTCAAGTGAATGACCACGCTAGGATCCTGTATGCGTGTTTCGGAGTCACAGCATAGTTCAATGGTACGAGATTCTAAGGTTTTAGCCAAGGAAGCCTGCTGACCGATTTGGCATAGTGTGCGTACTTTGAAGGCTCCAATGTGTAGTTTGGAGCGAGGTTTCAGTAGACCTGGGACAGTGTTTTGCGCACTAGAATCGTTGGCTGTGGTGACACTTGAGGAGGAAGCCGAAAGAGGGAGTTTAGATTTGAAAGTCGATGTAAGAGGAATAATAGGAATTGAAGAGGTAGGTTGATTATGAATACAGTGGTCTTGAGTGCTGTTAGAGGTATGAGGGCGGTTATCACTTCCCGGTTGCCCACACCGTGGAAGGGTTCTGCTGGAGGTACCTGAAAAGGAAATTGGATTAGAGGTGGTCATAGTGACCTGAGAGCGTGACCGCAGTGCCCAAGCGACAACTGCTTAAGGTCGCTCACACTCGACCTTTTTATGAGTAATTTTTGTGTTAGCTCCGTACTTGTTGAGACCTTACCGCCGGAGACGGATATCCGTGGGATAAGGCGAGGTGTGCATTTTTAGGGTTGACGTTTTCTAACCCCACCCCTCCTTGTGGGAAGGCAGCATCGCTGTTATGCTGGTTGTCTGAAGGAAACAGCTTACTGCTGTCACACCTCTGTACAGTCAGCAGTACGACTTCGCCTTCGGACCTAGGTTTTGTTGCTTTTAGTCTTACCGCTCTTCAACCGACCTGTCTGGCATGGTAGGACCTTGAGGAACGGTTGTTCCAACCAGTATATCTCAGTTGCTTCATCACGGTAGGCAAGGCCGACCACCACGTCAAGGTAGCAATAACGGTCAGGTCCAATGCTTTATGTGTGCATTTATCGGAAAATATAGCCCTACCTATAACCATGTTGTTGAAGACACAAATTTTTAAATCTCTCAACATTCTTGTCCATGTTATCCCATCATATCTTCAAACCCAGTGTTGTCCATTATGAGTTTGCCGTTTAGGTCAGGTCTTTTCCTATCCATTCCTCTTGGGTCGGTTGCAAATTCTTACATAACTGATCTTCATCGTTCCCGCCGGTATCGTTTAGAGGTGCTTGGCACAGTGTTGATCATTACGATTCCACCGTTCATTGTCTCAAAGGATGCTTGATTGAATCTTGTGTCATGATTTTCCTATCCCGATACCACCTTTTGTTCTTATTGAGAAAGGATAAATGCAACTTTCCATGTGTAAGGGCATTTTCTTCTTCGTTAACAGAACACAATAGAACCTCTCCCAAAATTAATCTTTTTTATCCAGTTTGTGTCCAGTGAGCTCCACGTATTCGAAGCCGAGTCAGGTTGTATCTTCTCATCTCTTCTGCTATTCGGATGACCCTGTCAGTTCCTTTCATTGCGCGAGAATTCCACATAACTATATAAACTGTTGCTTTGATTTTCAGAAGAGGCATCTGCCCCGTGATTTCCAAAGAATCTCGACTTTCACCATGAGGTGTCAAAACTCTTTTTAATGGGCATTCTTTATGTAATCAGTCAGATTTTAAATTATTTAAATGATTTTTCTGGTTAGTGACTCAGAATCGATCACAATGGTGTAGGTGTATACACTCTCTGTCTTCCCTTAAACTATAAGATTAAAATCGCTTCATATCTACCCATAAAACCGGCAGTAATCGTAGACATCTCTAAGCGAAGTTATCCAGTGTTTTAATAACTAAAAATATATGACTTAGTTATTCTGTGACATCGACTTCAGTTTTGGCAATTTGGTTATTGTCACACTAAATCACACACAAATTTCGGTGTTCAGAATAAAGGACTCTCGAGATAAGCTACATTAATCTGATCATAAAATATAATGCAACATCGCTTTATTCATTGAATAATAACTCAAATTTAATGGTCTATGTTTTGTGTGATCACTTAGGCTGGTTTCTAATAGTTACTGGTATTGTGGATGATGATGAATTCCACTTTTTATAAACTATTTTATGTAGATTTAAGTTTAGCGTTTTGCGCGTTAATGTTCTTCACTTAATTAGTTTTTCACATTCCCCACTTAAAAGCATTTTGTCATCTAGTTGGGGCGGTCAGACCAAAACATGGTACGAATCTACGAAGTCACTGACAAGTGGACTGAGTCATGTTGGTCGGTGTAGACTACCTGGTTTAGGACTGCGAGATGACCCTGAATGACATGGCTCAAAATCTTTTGCAATGGCGCAGGTGCATTCATTCTTTGTGTTCTCCCAAATTCTAATCTTCTGAATTCTTCATGTCCCTTTATTTTTCCGTTTTCCAAATTTATTTCACTGTATTATACTCCTTGAATAACATGTACAAACTCTAATGTTTCTGATTACTGCTTATACTTTTACAACCTCTATCACTGGGATTCGAATCGACAATTGTATGTGTGGTAATGTGGTATGGCAACTCGAACTGATATACGTACGTACAAAGTTCTATGTTGTTGACTGACTGGAGTTGTTTTGGTAATGTTGTTACTGTATCTCTGAAGACATTGTTAATATATTGATGTGCGTGATTTTTACACTAAGTAATCCCCCTTAAATTTGGTAAAATAAATCTGTCTCGGGCAAAGAGAGAAGCAAAAGTTAAGCAATGGTCTGTTCATTAAAATTCAAGTTAGGAATTATTAACTTGGTGCTCAAATTTATCAACCTACCACTTGTAACAACATTTAGATCATACTGATAATATCAGATTTATATTATGCTTATTTATCAATCAAAAATATATCAGAAGGAGTTTTGTGGAGATTGTAGTAATTTCAATGGTTAAGATCATGAGTCAGTTGAAGCTAGACCGCCATGGAAAACTTGGAAGCACTAGACGGCCGTTTCGTCCTATTATGGGACTCCTCGGCAGTGCGAATACATGACCTCGCCCCTTGCGAGATTTGAACCCAGGACCTACTGATTTCGCGCACGAGCACTTAACCACAATATATGTTCGACATCGTGATAATAAGTACTGTTTCCTATTAGTTTTCTCATTAAGTCATAATAACATCTGATCTCATTTGTAGACTTAATGTATGTATGAGATTAACCTCTTGATTCATTAACATTAAATAGTAAACCTTGTTGATATTCGTTCTAGAGTTTTTATCCATTTACATCTTAACTCAATATTCAAAGACAATAATCTAACACTCTTCAACCTAATGTGAACCATATCCCCTAATAACTTCCCTCACATCTCCTTTACCTTAATGAATAGAAGAATACAATACATACAATACATTTTCTAGGATTTTCTAGTTAGTTAGCATTTCAGTCAGTCAGCTGCAACGTAGGACCAGGCACATATATGCATCGGTCCAAGTTGCCATACTGCATTAGCACAACAAAATAATCACTGGATTCATAGAAGTAGTTAATTCAATGGTGGTACACATATTCTATGACACCTGATTCGATCGTACTTAATACGATATAAGAATTAAAAATGCTAGTTATTTAAGTAATTCATCTTTTTTGACTGAATCTAATTGAATTTTCCCCACATAATAAATAGCATTAATTGAATTATGAATACATCTTAACTTAATACAGAGATTACCGTAATTTTATAATTACATAACATAACATATAAATGACTGTTATATCCCGATAAGAATAATGAATGGTAACCGTTGGGATCCATTTAATGGACCGTCCGTCTATCAACCAAAGGACGTGTTTACTGCGCAACTGTTCGTTCCGTCCTACTTTATGGCAGTGAAACATGGTCAGCAAGAGTAGAGGCTATTCGTAGGTTACTAGTTATCAGTCATAGGTGTCTTCGAAACATTGCTCGTATATCCTGGCACCACCGAGTAAGTAACTCAGTTGTTAGGAAACGGGTACTAGGTAAGGATGGCAAATCAATTGATGAAGTAGTGAAACTTAATCAGTTGAGATGGCAAGGACATGTGTTACGTATGTCCGACCACCGAATGCCCCGACGTGCGATGTTCTATAGTGTAGGAGTAGGTTGGAATAAAGTTAGGGGCGGTCAGACCAAAACATGGCACAAATTCATGAAGTCACTGACAAGTGGGCTGAGTCATGTTGGTAGATGTAGACTACCTGGTTGGGATCTGCGAGACGATAACAACCGATGGTTAGAGATCTTGAATGATATGGCTCAAAAACGTTTGCAATGGCGCAGATGCATCCACTATCTGTGTTCTCTCAAACTGTAATCTTCTGTATTCTTCATGTCCTTTATTTTCTTTCCAAATCTATTCCACTGGACTATACTCCTTAAACAACATCATCAAACCCTAATGTTCCCTATCACTACCTCTACCACTATGCGATTTGAATCGACAACTGCATCTCTGTGCTAATGTGGTGTATGGCAACTCGAACTGATGTACGTACGTACGAAGTTCCACGTTGTTATTAACTGACTGACTGACTATACGTATATTTTATCGTATAATTGTTAATTAACTAAACTATCTCCATATTCGTGTCCCTCTTATTGTAAGCTTTATTTTGATGTATGAACTGTTATTGTACGATTTACCATTCTTGAATTATACCCTGTCTATTGATCATTACCTCTCACGTTCACAGCCACTTTTGGCCAGATTTTGTACGAATATTATTTCCTATTTTATGGTACGTTGTGTTCTGTTTTTGATTGGTATATTAACCCAGTATGTTTGAAATACATGATTCATATCACAGAGGCTCGGATTGATGTTCTGGACTTAACTGGCTAGGCCAGACAGGAAGCCAGACCAATTAGGACTTTAAACTGCTTGTAGAGGTTTACGCGTTATTGATCCGATCGATATGTCACTGCTCTCTAATCGGCGGTCACAAGTTATAACAATGACTATAATGTTTACCGTAGAAATATGAATGTTACATAACTTTCATAATTATTTGATTTGTTTTCCTTACATAAAAACCTTAATCAATTCAAATCATACATCCTTTTTTTGTTGGGATTTGTTAGGTTCATTTATGAAACAGAAGTTCATAATGGAATTGCTGAACTTTTAGAAATTTTAGGCAGGTATGTTATAAACTATATTCATTTATTCTAATTCATTCACATGAATTTATCATCATGATATCAAGTAATTTGTGCTGTTTACACATTTAAAAGATTTTGGCAAAAAGAACTTCATTACCCCCAAATGCCCCCTGGTATGACCGAGAGTAGGGACAGTCAGCTCTCTCTTAACAAATGTTCTCACATGGATACGCATACATCCATTGCCATGGAAGTCCTACTCATTACCTTCTTGCTAATGAAGTGTCGTTTACGAAATGGACAGGGTGAAAAGGGAATTTACGGTGCTTTAACCAGGTTGGTGGACACGGAGAGAGGATCCTGAAGGAACAAATGGCATATGAACCTATTGTTGGTCACGAGCTATCATGGACTGTATCTTCCGATGTTCCTCCACTACCTTGTGGATTAGACTTTTAGGTGGAAGGCTCTGAGTGTGACCTGCTAAGTAAACCACCTGTTTCTGTTTGAGCACCCGGGCAGTATCCTAGCAATCACACAAATCTCATTCGATTTGTGTGGCGCATATCTATTTGGTACATTCTTGTACCAATGTTTATGTAGTTAAATAAATAGATCTAAGGTTTATAGACCGAATCAACAACGAATAATCTGTATACTATGGTGTAAACATCTGTGTTTTTCGTGGGGGGGAGTTTATATTTGTTTACGAATTTATTTATTTCTAATAATATACTATTGAAATACTTTTGTTCATATCAAATCGATACTAACACTTAAAGTACTCATCCAAGACTTGAAACAGCCTATCATAGCATTAGCTTTGGAAATAGTCGAAGGATTCGTTCATTTGAATATTTGTATGAGTTCATGTGGTGTGTTGTCATAGTAAATAAAAACTATAAAAAGCATAATTGCTTATGCCATTTTCGATCATTATTGACACCGTTGTAATTTATTTGACTTTAAAAGGTCGCGTACATTGTTTTACTCCGAAGCATTATTCATATCCTATTCCAACATCATATTAATAATACCGATGTCTGATTGTAATGAACGAAAATACCGACGGGGACAATCGAATGCATTTTAATAATAAATTACAACATATCATGGTAAAATATTTATTTATTTGAACACATAAATATTGGTACAACAGGGCACCAAATATATATGCGCCACACAGAATTTTATGTGCGGGCTGTGATATTGTCCGGCTGCCCAGACTGAAGCAGGTGGTTTTCTTAGGGGGCCACACCCCAAGCCTTTGACCTTAAGGTTTGACCCACAAGGCAGTAGAGCATCGTAAGGAGATGCAGTCCCATGGTAGCCAGCCGGTGAACAACGATTGGTTCATACGCCATTTGTTCCCGCAGGATCCTGAACCCAGCCCATGTGCACGATTGATTTGGGTTCCGGTTAAAGCACCGGACATTCGCTTCTCGTCCTCTCATTTTCGTAGGCAACACCCCCGCCACGAGAAGGCGCTGAGTAGGACTTCTCTGGCAGAGGCTGTATACGCGTGACCATGTGAGAGCATTTCGAGATGGAGGGCGAGCCCATCCCACTCTCGGGTATAACAGGGTATCTGGGGACATGGTAAAATATGTGAACCACACATCAAATATTTCATTTGCAAGTTTACATCATTTTATCTTTCACATTCTATATGATTCTTCCGATTCACAATTTCTTTCTAATTCCATTCCTGTTTTCTTCAAGTCAATCTTCATAAACTTCTGTTATCAGGGTTTCCACTTCCAAATGGTGTTAGATACTACTTATATCAATAGACATAAGTAGCGCATACATCACACTATGATAATCCACTCTAACAATACTCATAATTAAGGCTATTATTGGTTGTTAGCAATTGAATGCAGGATGTGCATTTTTATTCTATTTGAGACTCGTCAACTGGATGTATCTCCATCTAAGTGTTGATAATTCCCTTCAGGATTGGAATCCAGTACTGTTTGCTTCAAACTCTATCATGTTATTCATTTAGCTTCTTTTTCTTTTTCTTTTTTTTTACTTCTTTTTTATATTATATTATATTTCTAGAATCGATCAAATTATCATAATAACTAATATTATTTACATATTTATTTGTTATTAAGCTGATTACATCATATGATACTATTCTATGTTTAAATCGGTTAAAGAAATATTTTTGTTTATCATATTTCTTGTTATTTTCTATATTGTATTATTTATGTAAGTCAAATTAAAACAAAACAAAACAAAACAAAAGACTATATATTTATACATAAATTATTCAATTTGTGTAAAAGCTGCGATACTGCCTGGTTACACAAACTGAAGTAGCGGGGGGGGGGCAAACCCTGAGCCTTTGACCTAAAGGTCTGACCCACAAAGCAGATGTAGTCCCACGGTATCCGGTGACCGATAGTAGGTTCATGCATCATTTGTTCCTTCAGAATACTGCAGCCTAGGTACATCAATGGTTTGGAATCAATATTTTCTAACTTTCCTAGGTAAATACTCTGTGCACACCAAGCCGGTTAAAGCATCGAATATACTCTTACCGTCCTCTCAATTTCATAAAAAAAACACCTCCGCCATGAGAAGGTAGTGAGTAAAACTTTCCTGATAGTGGTTGTATGCACGTGGCCATATGTGAGAGCATTAGGAGAGGTAGAGCTGACTTTCCCCACTGTTGGGCGTACTAGGGCATTTGGGGTGGTGATCAATGTCATGTATATCAGGTTCGTCTTAGTTCAGATCTAATCCTATTGATGATCAAGTCACAATGTGGCCACCAGTCTAGGAGACTGGACATTGTTAATGATAATTGCTATTCACAATCTAGTATTAAAAAAATGAATTTATTAATGATCAGAAATCACAAGTAGTTGTTATGACATTAGTAGCAATTAATCGTTTTTTCAGGATCCTGGAACCAACCCATATACATCATTGATTTAGAATCACGGTTTTCCAACTCCCCTAGGTGAATACTCTGTACCCAACAACCCGGGTAAAGCGTCAATATTCGTTTTTTGTCCTTTCAATTTCGTAAGCAGCACCCCTTGTGCGAGAAGGCAGTGAGTATGACTTTCCTGGTAGTAGTTGTATGCACGTGTTCATGTAAGAACATTTGTAGAGGGAGAGTTGACTTTCTCCACTCTCAGCCGTACCAGGGCATTTGGGGGATCAGTTTTAAACTTTATTAATATTATAGCACATTGGATAATGTGCAACTGTTTCAGTATGAAATCGGTTTCAAGAAATATTTTGCCAACATCATAAATTTATAATCTTAGCTTAACACTATTCTTATACTTAACTACAACATTACTCACTTGGTTATTATGCAATTGCTAAGTTTGAAGCGGTTACGAGTTCACTTAGACTGCGAACAGAAACATAGACTCGGTGACCAAAGACCAATAAGCTAGCTATTTGATCCGTCCCAGTCCCACTAACTAAAAGAAGAAGTTGAAGCTTGGAATGGGGGAAATGTATTCTGGAAACTACTAGAAGCATGAGCGATAACAACAAACACAAATCAAAACGTATATATATATACAGTACAAAACCGTCGTTGGGGAGAGTTAGCAAATAGCATACTAAATGATTCAATGGATCAATGACATTTAAGATAATTCCCAACTGGGAAATTTTCTAAATAAAACCACAAACTTAGGTCGTTTTCCATAGTGAATTCTGGGGATCTAAGTTCCCTAACAACAATATCTCAAATATATCTATAATGAAAATTCTATCGTTTATATCTATCTCCTAGTTTCATGAATCATGTTCCGCAATCTTTTTCCTTTCTCTACATTCTATTCTCCTTTTTTTTTTCTTTTTTCTTCTTTTTTCTCTTGTTATATAGTATCATTAATGGATTTGCATTACCATTAAAAGAAGAACATAAAATATTTTTAATGCGTGTATTACTTCCATTGCATAAAGTTAAATCAGTTAGTATCTATCATGCACAATTAGCATATTGTGTTATACAATTTTTAGAAAAAGATCCAACACTTACTCAACAGGTTAGTTTATTTATATCATTTAAAGAATGTATAACTTTAAATGATGATAATCTAACAAATAGAGATACACATTAACTCTTTAGATAATTTTGATTGAAATCATGAATAGATGAATGTTAGACCAGTATTGAAAACCTGGTAACATTCGACGACCATTTACGTTCTATTGTCGGACTTTTCAACAGTGTTTCCAGGTTTTCAATACTCATCTAACATCAATCACTTCATGATCTCAATCTCCATAACCACCCCTATACTGAAATATAACATTATAAAAGTAGACAATTTTCGTAATTTATCATACTCTGTATTATCCATATATATAATGACGGTTATCATTTCTCAGTTGCCCCATACCTTAGAAGGGTTCTTCTAGAGATATCTGAAAAGAAAATTGGGTTAAGGGTGGTGGTCTTAGAGAGCTAAGGGCGTGACTGCAGTACCCAACGGACAACTGCATGAGTTTAGTTATATACGACCTTTTTGTGAGTAATTTTCATGTTAGCTCCGTACTTGAATATCCGTTGGATAAGGTGAGGTGTGCATTTCTAGGATTGACCAAAAGAGAAAGTTTGGAAGTGAAAGTCGACGTAGTAGGAATAATAGGAATTGAAGAGGGAAATCGATTATGAATAGAGTAATCTTGAGTGCTGTTGGATGAATAAGTGTGGTTATCACTCCTCGGTTACCCACACCGTGGAAGGGTTCTTCTGGAGGTATCCGAAAAGGATATTGGGTTAATTGAAATATATGTAAATAATATTCAAGTTATGTTGGTATTTGTCTATAAAGCATAACTATTAGTTACTAAGTTACAGGTTCAAACCCTATTCTATTGAATTGGGCTTTAATGGTTAATATTTTTCACTATTATTCACATAAGAAATATCTTCTGAATTCCACTGTAGTAGCATCAGATAGATAGTCAGTCAGTCTTGAGTGCTGTTAGAGGTATGAGGGCGGTTACCACTTCCCGGTTGCCCACACCGTGGAAGGGTTCTGCTGGAGGTGCCTGAAAACGAAATTGGATTAAAGGTGGTCTTATTGACCTGAGAGCGTGACCGCAGTGCCCAAGCGACAACTGCTTAAGGTCGCTCACACTCGACCTTTTGTGAGTAATTTTCGTGTTAGCACCGTACTTGTTGAAACCTTACCGCCGGAGACAGAAATCCGTGCAATAAGGCAAGGAGCGCATTTTTGGGGTCAACATTTTCTAACCCTACCACTCCTTGTGGGAAGGCAGCATCGCTGTTATGTTGGTTGTCTGAATGAAACACCTTACTGCCGTCACACCTCTGTACACTCAGCAGTACAACTTCGCTTTCAGTTATATCGTTCTTCAACCGACCTGTCTGGCATGATACGACCTTGAGGAACGACTGTTCCAGTCAGTATAATTCGGTCGGCAATATCCATACACTATAATAAAATCGATTGGTTCACGCTAAGACATTATTTAACAATAAGTGTTTTATTTCTTTGTAGTTGTATATTATCAATGTTTGTCATAACTTACAAATCTCTTTAATCTTGAATAAAATAGGTTTCGTCGTTTAGTTTTCCGGATATAAGAGTTTATAAATGACATTGATGATAGCCTTATACTTTTTTATTATTTTCTTTCTATCGTGATGTTAATAATTGTTGCTGTGACGCTTTGAAGATCATTCACACCCATCATATATTTGACAAAGTTATCATGAATCAAAATATGGCGTTACATTTGCTGCATTTGTTACCTACCTATTTATTATTTATTTATTTAAACCCATAAATATTGGTAGAAGAAAGCATCAAATAGATATACGCCACCCAAATCATTCGATTTTTGGTGGGTTTGATGCCCAAAACGGAGCAAGTGGTTTTCTTACCGATCACTCCACGAGCTTTTGACTCAAAGATCTAATCCACAATGTAGTGGAGCAATGGTATCTGCTCACTAACAACAAGTTTATACGCCATTTGTCCCTCCGCGATCCTGAAGCTAGCCCATGTACACTATTGATTTGGATTCAAGGTTTCCCTGCTCTCCTAGATAGATCCTCCGTATCTACCAACTGGTTTCAAGTGTCGGATATTCGTTTTTTGTTCTCTCAATTTCATAGACAATTATAATGCCGTGACAAGGTGGTGATTAGGTGTTCCGTGGCAGTTTAGCAGATGAAGCTATATCTCTTTTAAATTCATATTAAAGAATATATCTTCCTATGTTCATCATATATATCATTCTCTATAAATATTCTTTAGGTTGTTCTTAGTTTATTAAAATTTTGGCCAAAAACTCATAGTCCTAAAGAAGTGATGTTTTTAAATGAATTAGAAGAAATACTTGATGTTGTTGATCCATCAGAATTTCGTAAAATTATTCGACCACTTTTTACACAATTAGCTAAATGTGTATCATCTCCTCATTTTCAAGTGAGTTAATGATTATTATTATTATTATTATTAGTTATTATGATATACCCTTGTGGACCTGGGTAGTTATACATTGGTTTTCAAGAGAACCGATATTGTAGTACCGTGTGATGGTGGCTATTCTAAATTCTACCGATTGACTAACTGTAGATATCGTAGTACGACTCCAATACTGTTCCACAATCTCCAATGTATATGAGAACATGAATCGTTAGATGAAAATTGTTTATGGGGTCAGAAGAAGAATAAGAATTTACAGACAAATACATATTTATACAGTTAGGACTACGGGGAATATTAACCAATAGGAAAATGACATCCTTTCCCGTTCAAAGATAGCATTAGACTTAACAGGATGATTTTTTTAAAGGATATTTTTCTGAATATCCCAACAACCGGATGACGCTATCTAGACTTTCATGTGACAACTATCTAGGCTTAAATGTTATAACCTGAACAATACAGTTCAATCCCGCTTCATAGGAGAACCAAGCGCTGTATAAACTTTAACGCTACAATCTGAATAGTATAGCTTAATCCTGTGGTAAAACCACACAGGTACTACAAACCCTGGTGGACCATCTACTACTACTACTATTATTATGATTACTATTATAGTTTCTGGGTCTATGAAATGGGAATTAGATTGTTCAATAGTTACTATGTGTAATTCATTGATCATTTCTTAATATTCCTTTAAAACAAATACTTTTTTTGTTCAGTTGGTTATCAATACTATTATTGGAATCAATGTGAATATACGTAGAGACAATCGAATGTAGTTAAATATCAAATTACATAATCTCTTAGTAAAATATAAGAACCATACATTCAATACTTTATTTGCGAAATTCCACCATTTATCCTTTCAATTCTGTATCACTCAGTCAGTCTGTAACAACATAGAACTTCGTACGTACGTACATCAGTTCGAGTTGCCATACACCACATTACCACATATACAATTGTCAATTCAAATCCCATAGTGATAGAGGTAGTAAAAGTATAAACAGTAATCAGTAATTGTAAAAAGTTGTTGCTTCTTCTTTAACTGAAAGATTTCTTCTGATTGTACCTTTACATTTCCCTCATTATTATTACTATTACACTACCTTACACTAATCTGTTCGTTATTGTTTTTTTTACTCTCCTTACCCTCCTTTCTTTTTTTCTTTTTTCCTTTCTCCTTAAATTCTCATTGTTTTGTATGGCGCATATATATTTGGTGCCCTCTTCTACCAATATTTATGTGTTTAAATAAATAAATATAAATCAGGAAAATTAGGGTTTGAAGAGGTTATTCAAAGAGTATGATCCAGTGGAATAGATTTGGAAAGAAAATAAAGGACATGAAGTATTCAGAAGATTAGAGTTTGGGAGAACACAGAGAGTAGATGCACCTGCGCCATTGCAAACGATTTTGAGCCATGTCATTCAATATCTCTAACAATCGGTTGCTATCGTCTCGCAGATCCCAACCGGGTAGTCTACATCTACCAACATGAGTCAGTTCACTTGTCACTGACTTCATGGATTTGTGCCATGTTTTGGTCTGACCGCCCCTAACTTTATTCCAACCTACTCCTACACTATAGAACATCGCGTGTCGTGGCAGTCGGTGGTCTGGCATGCGCAACACATGTCCTTGCCATCTCAACTGATTACGTTTCACTACTTCATCAATTGATTTGCCATCCTTACCTAGTACCTGTTTCCTAACAACTGAGTTACTTTTTCGGTGGTCCCAGGATATACGAGCAATGTTTCGAAGACATCTATGGTCAAATGCTAGTAACCTACGAATATCCTCTACTGTTACCGGCCATGTTTCACTACTATGAAGTAGGACGGAACGAACTGCTGCGCAGTAAACTCGTCCTTTGGTTACTAGACGGATATCTCGCCTACACCATAAATGACGCAAGTTGGCAAAAGCTAATCGAGCCTTCTGTATCCGTGCTGAGATTTCGTCACACAACAGACCACAAGAGCTGATGAGACACGCTCAACTACTAATGTAATACACCTACTTGTGTCCGTGTGTCTGTGTGGTTATAACTGAATATTATTCCTTTTAAAACTCCATAGTTACAACGAGTTAGACTTTAATTTATGGATGACCTTCATGCGTCACTACACTGACCTTGAGAATGTCCACCTAACAACTAAGATCGAATGAGGGTTATAAATCAGTGTGGGGAATTTGAATTATGATATACAGTTGATGATTAGGGTTTTCATCACAAACTGATATCAGCTATAATGCAATAAATCTATTTAGCCAAATCAATGAGTGAATTTCGCTCCAAAAATCCGAGATCTGTCATCTTATATCTGATTGGTTCGTCCATAAATTATAGTCTCGCTGTTGCAACGCATTACAAATAACAAATTACAATGTATAAATAACCTAATTATATGTATTACATAATTAAGTAATGAGTCTATAATTAATATACAATAATTTAAGAGTGGTAGAACACGTATAACAATGGTTAATCAGTGAAATGAAAGCATACAGTAACATCATTGTAAATTATCACAAACCAAATATCTAATAATTATATAATATCAGAAGGGGTTTTGTAGATATTATAGTATTTTTAATAGTTGAGGCGCTAAATTGCAATTTCGTCCTACTTTGGGACTCTTCAGTAGTGTACATCTACGATCCTATCTCACGAGATTCGAAGTCAGAACTTATCAGTCTCGTATGTGAACAGTTAACCTATAGACTATTAAGCTGGCAACCATTGATGTTTGTTAGTGTCTTACTTCAACTAATTCACGAAATTGAACGACATATCCATAAGCAATATGTATAAACCTTGACAGAATTATCTGTTCGTGTATGTTTCCATTACACATTTGAATATTAAGATAATGAGGAAAGAAGTTGTTATGATGTACAATTTCTAAATATAATCAATAATGAATGGTAATCAATATTGATTTATGATGAATATATATGATCAACTTTTGTTACATTATATTTATAATCTATATTTAATGATAATAACTCAGTTCATATATCGTAATTATTGTAATCCAATACATGATAGATGAATAACTTAAATATACTTTTAATTTTGCTAAGATCATCATCAACAAAATTTCTATGATAAAAATGAATTTATTACTCAAATTAACTTATCAGAAATGCGGAGAATTAAAGTGATCTCATTCACTTAATTGATATCAGAATTTTCACTGGTTGAAATCATGAATCCATTGAAGCTAGACCACCATGGAAAACCTGGAAGCACTGGACGGCCGTTTCGTCCTAGTATGGGACTCCTCAGCAGTGCGCATCCACGATCCCGTTCCTCGCGAAATTCGAACCCAGGACCTATCAGTCTCGCGCCAGGCGCTTAACCAAATAGACCACTGAGCAGGCATCCAACGGTGTTAATGTCTAACTTCAATCCAGGTTTTCCATGGTGGTCTAGCTTCAATGGGTTCGTGATTTCAACCAGTGAAATTTCTAAAATCTCCACACAATCCCTTCTGATAATGATATCAGAATTGTTAAATATTGAATCAATACGGGAATAGGATGAAGTTGTAGCAATGGATAATATGATTATATGAGAAAAAATGTGCTGTGAGTTACTTATATCCACATAAGTAGTATATAACGGTAGTTAGGCATAGAATATATTTCAGTAGAAAGTCGATGAGGAAAGAATGGAGATAGAACACAATTAGTATGAAAATGCATGAACAATGAATTGATGTTTACAACAGGAACAGTCAAGTTTGAGATGATGAAAATTGCAAGTGTTGTTCACCTTGACGTTAACTTTTAAATAATTCTATTAACTTGTTGCATGTTTACATTGACGTAGTTCATAAGTTCTAATATTGGTGATCTACTTCACTGGTGTTCTTTATCGTTTGTTCATAGATATTTTTTTAAGCATTAATCAATTAGTTCTAGTAGGCGTTGACTTCTATGCTCCCTTCTGTACTTTGAGATGAGGAACAAGGATAGAGTGTCGTTTGCTAAGCTTTGTTCGATTCAGATTATTTTGACAAGTTTGATTTTTGAAATTCTTGTTAGTTTATTTGAAGAGAGGTCTTTGTTCTTTATCATCTCTATCGTCTGCTTGATGTTTCGATTGCATTTGTCAAGACTGTCATCATTAAAAAGGGGCGATCTGTAAGATATCTACGGTGACATAAAATTCACAATGGAAAAAGCGTTGAACAACAAACTATCAACCTCCCCCCTTAAGAAAACCACCTGCTTTGGTTTAGGCACCCGGGCAGTATTACAGCCCTCGCACAAATCAAATGAGACTTGTGTGGTACATAATATTCGCTGCCACTTTGTACTAATGTATGGTACCTGCTTCGGTTTGGGCACCTGGGCAGTATCACAGCCCTCACACATATCAATTGAGATCTGTGTGGCGCATATGTATTTGGTGCTTCCTTGTACCAATATCTATTGTGTTAAAATAATAATAATAATGTATGGTAAAGAGTTGAGATGCTAAGTTTTTTCATGAAGCTGAGTGGATATATTCTAGATATTGTTATTTGTTTTTCCATTCTTAAAGTATTCTACAGTGTGTTGTAGGCGTCTTAAAAACTTAGTATGCAGTTGATTTTGTGAGTTATTGGATTGTTTCTACTGTAGTTGAGAATTAGATATGTAGGTTGGCTTACGATATATTTGAATCTTCCGTTTTACTGAGCTTAAAGGTTTGATTCACATGGCAGTGGAGCATCGTAAGGAGATGCATTCCCATGGTATCCGGTCACCAACGATTGGTCTGTACGCCATTTGTTCCCTCAGGATACTGGAATCAGCACATGTGCATTATAGGTTTGAATCAGGGTTTTCCAACTCCCCTAGGTAGACTCTTCCTGTCCATCAACCCGGTTAAAGCACCGGACATTCACTTATGATTTTCTCAATTTCGTAAACAACACCGCCTTCACGAGAAATCATTGAGTAAGACTTCCCTGACAGATGCTATATACTCGTAGCCATGTGAGAGCATTTCCTGAGGGTGAGTGAACACTCCCCACTCTCGGTCGCACCAAGGCGAAATTGATAGGTATCTTTTTCTTTATCAAGATTTATCAAATTCTGAAGATTATTTTCTTCATATATGTGTAAACCGACTAAAATAACACAGATAATTAAGTAAGACGTAACATCTAACTAACTAGATGTCATTTCAATTTAGTTTCTCTTTATAACATACCGGATAAAATTACTCTCGATGAAGAGTATACTATGAGATAGTGTGTAATATTCATGTGTATATATGTCAAGTTACTCATTGATTTTGGTTCAATGTATCTGTGTAAATTGTGACTTCTTGTATCGCTTATTTCAAAGTACAATGTTAGATTATTATGTATGTAGTTTTCCTTTCCCTTTTCATATAATCCTTTCAAATACATCACCATGGTAATGAAATGTACTATTAGCCACTGGATAGGTGGGGATGGAGGTTAAATAACTTCTGATTTTGGAAAAAAAGAATGTACTTGTCTTTCTTAAGAATTAGTTTATTTCTTTGAAATGCTCATGTTATAAACGATGGATAACATGTTGAAATCATTTCTATAGCTTACGTCTTTTAACTTTAATTGAAGTCTTTTCATTTGTACAACTGATAGTATTATGGTGTGTGCTACTTATGTACACATAAGTAGTATATGATGTTAGTCGTGAACAGAATGTCTTGTAGCAGAAAGACAAGAAAATCGAACAGTAAAGAATGAAAACAGAATGTAATTTGTATGAAAATCTGTGAACAAAGGAAGTCTAAGTCATTTGAGACAATTGATGGACATTTTTTAAATTCAACATTTACTATATGGTTGTTAGATTTTACTTCGTAGTTCTGTAATTCGTTGTGAAATTCATTCGATTGTCTCCACTGATGTTCTGTTCCGTACATTCGGTGTCACTGCCAACCAAGAGAGGGGAAGGGTGTTGTTCAGCGGACGCCGTTGCGAGCCTAGAGCTGAGGTGCCGGTTGGGGCAGTCAGGTGCGAAGAGGTGGCGTGTGGTGGAGTGTTCTGGCAGGGGGCGGCGTTAGCTGTAGCGGGTGCTGTCGACGGAGAGTAGCGGTGGGACGTGTGGCTGCTGAGCGGACATCGGATGTAGACGGCTCAGCAGGCCGGTGGAGCGCGGGTTTTTGACGTCCTAGGTGCCGGGTGGGTGTCGGATGTTAGTGCCCCGGCAGGTCGACGGAGCTATGGAGCTCGGTGCGTCGCAGACTCGACATTTTGACGGAGGGCGTAGCACAGACTGCAGAATAGAAGAATGTTACGCGGCAAGCATGAACCACCACAAGAACGACTGCATTAACTATATGATTCTTAGATTTTACTAATTAGTTTTGCAATATTTCAAGTACATTCGAGTGTTCCTCACCCGTTTTCTTGTTCACTAGAGTATCACTAACTTTTACATAAATAATAAAGTTCAAATTCATGTTAATACTCTCGTATTTGGTAGATAACTGTTCTATCATTAATCAAGCCTTGAGTATATGTGACTTTTCAAAATTATTGTAGTGAATGTGAACAGAGGCAGGGGACAGTTGAATGTATTTAAACATACAAAATTAAAGAATATTTTAGTAAAATCTAAGAACCATACAGTAAATACTTCAAAACTTGACCCTTCCTTTCGGTAAATATCAACCAAATCGTCTCAGTACTTCATTGTTCCTACCTTTTCATATCAGTTACTTTCTGTATCCATTCTTTCCTTCTCGAAATTCCTTATTTATTTACTTGAACAAATAGATATTGGTATAAGGAGTCGCCTAATATATACGCGCCACACAAGTCTCATTTGATTTGTGTGAAATCTGTGATACTGCCCGGATGCTCAAACCGAAGTGTGTGATTTTCTTACGGGGCCTCACCCATAGCCTTTGACCTAAAGGTTTGATCCATAATGTAGTGGAGCATCGTAAGGAGATGCTGTCCCAATAGTTGGTTCATACGCCATTTGTTCTCTCCAGATCCTCGAGCTAGCCCATGTGCAACATTGGTTTAGAATCAGCGTTTTTCAACTCCCCTAGGTTGATTCTCCGTATCCACCAACCCGAATAAAGAGCCGGACATTTGCTTTTCATCCTCTCAATTTCGTAAACAACAGTAATACCACAAGAAGGCATTAAATAGGACTTCCATGCCAGAGGCTGTATACTCGTGGCCTTGTGAGAGCATTTGGAGAGGGAAAGTGAACTCTCCCCACTCTTGACCGTACCGCCAGATATTCTAAATCTGACTGTCAATATAACTATCTTTCATCACTATGAAAAGAAAGTTCAATAAATGTTAGAAAATCATAGAAACATACAAAAGTGTTAATCATATTTATAATTGTTGATTTAATTTTCAGTTGTTTTTTTTAAGGAGGGGGGGGGCTTTTAATTGGAACAATTAAATCTTCTTAAAAATTTCAAAGTGTTATAATGAAACCGTTTGTTTTACTTGACCTTTAAAATAATTCCATCTTGAAAATGTTATATGATATGAGCTACTTATATCCAAATAAGTAGTATATAACTATAGTCACGAATAGAATGTATTTTAGTAAAAGATCGAAAAGGAAAAAATAAGAATGGAATGTAATTGATATGAAAATACAGGAAAAATGAAATTTGACACGATTCAATGATATTTTTTCAACTGAATCATTTACTCTGTATGGTTCTTAGATTTTACTAAGATGTGAAACGTTGAGATGATGAGTAGGGTAGAGTTGGTTTCATTCTGTCCATTTGACAGTTATCGACTCAATGTGTCTGCATCTCATGTGCTGAATGAAGTTCACATTGGGTTAAGCAATCGATATACATGACATTAGTTCGATATAGTGAGACGATGTTGTCTGTGAGTGGGTCTATGTAAGCGACTGTGACTAGTCGGTATTTCTTCAAAACTTGAAGATCTTATTCGCAGTAGCTAATTCTTATATAATTCTCAGTTTTCTGTACAAACCTCCACATTTTTTCTTTCATAATCATTCTCATGGATGATTTTATGTCTTTCCATTTTCTGGGAAAGTGTTGGATTGAAAATTACTATTTTTCATGTTTTTCTCTTGTTAATTGTTGTATGTTTGAGTCTGTAGGTCTAATTTCGTAAAAAGTGTATCATCACCAATCCATCTACTTCTGTGGAGCCATTTGATTGTGATCATTTCTATTCAGGAAACTTCTCGTGATCGTCGAACAAAAGTAGCCAGTTAGCTTAGCTACTGTTAATTTTTCTGGATAATCTCAATTAGCACCGTTAAATGCCAGCCCACTGGTCTAGTGGTTAAACGCTCACTATTAAAGAGTCCCACATAAGGACGAAACGGCCGTCCAAGTTTTTCATGATGATTTAGCTTCGATTAAACTCAACGATTATAATCTCTATTTGTATAGTAATGGAAACAACTGCAATGAACTCACTAAATTATAATATAATAATCGATATTTCAATTTTACTACTAACTTCGCACATTTGTCGTTACTTCTTAGTCGATGTGTTAGAACTGTAGTAAAACTGTTTCAATGATTGTTGATTTAATTCTGTGTATTTTCTTCATTAAAGATTTTAATCCATCTTTGTGTCTCATTGATTTAGTATTTGACCACAGGTGCCATCGAAATATTGCTCCCATTTGCTGGGATTACCGGGTAAGTAATAGTGAGGTTAGACACAGGGTATTAGGGAATGATAGTAAATCAGTTGATGAAGTTATGAATCGTCATCGACTGAGATATTTGGGACATGTGCTGCGTATGCCTGAACACCGTTTACCACGACGCGCAATGCTAACCGGTGTTGGGGTTAATTGGAAGAAAGTTAGAGGCGGCCAAACCAAAACGAGACATCAGTGCTTGAAGTCACTAACTTCTGGTCTGAGCCATGTTGTTGTATGCAGACTACTTGTTTAGGGTCCGTGTGACTATCTTAACCAATGGTTGGTGACTGTGGGTGACATGGCTCAGAATCGATCACAATGACGTCGGTGTATACACTCTCTGTCTTCCTTTAAACTATGAGATTAAAATCGCTTCATATCTTTCTTTCTACCGACTAATTCTTTCTTCCTGTACTATCTCTTTATATGCAATCTTTGTGTTATATATTATCACCACTGGATTAACTACTTCTATGAATCCGGCGTTCATTTTGTTGTGCTAATGCGATATGGCAACTTGGAACGATGCATGTGTGTACCTGGTCCTACGTTACAGCTGACTGACTGACTCATTGATTTATTGTTTCCGTATATAATTCCTCTTCTCTTATTACAATGATTGTTTATTTTATTTCTGTTTCTATAGGTTGCAGAACGTGCATTATACTTTTGGAGTAATGATTATATCCTGCAATTAATGCATGATCATGTTGAAGAAATTCTACCTATAATGTTTCCTGCTTTATATCGTACAAAAGAACATTGGAATAAGTAAGTGAATGACTCTATTTCCATTAGTAATAATTATTCATATTTAAATTAGTATGTGACATTATTTAAATGACAGTGATAGACCGGAAATTATTGTACAGTTGCGTAGATTAATTGAATTCATTAGTCAATTCAATCTAGATTAATCTGGAAGAACTAGACAGTCGTTTCGTCTTATTATAGAACTCCTCAGCAGGGCGTATCAACGATCCCGCCCTCCCTCCACCGCGAGATTTGAACTCAGAACCTATCGATTACGCACATGAACGCTTAACTTTTAGACCACTGAGCTGGCATCCAACGATGTTTAATAATGTTTAAGTTTAACCAATCCATGAATTTTCACCACCGTCCCTTACTAGGACGAAACGGCTGTCCAGTGCTTCCAGGTCTTCCTTCGTGGTCGAGCTCATGAATTCAGCGGTAAATTCTTTTAGGATGTGTGTGTCCGAAGAAGATCAGTCGACTTTTTCTTTGCTTCCTTTAAAAAATTTTCCTGTTGTCAATTAGTCAAGTAAAAATATGTGGGGCCCTTTATTTTGTCGTCAATTAGATCGGACCATGTTGTCGAAAGGCTCTCCACTTTAATGGCCTGGAATCTGACTCCAAGTAGATCGCATGAATGATCCTTGTTGAAATATATATGTCGCCTATCCTCGTATATAATCATCGACTTAAATCGCATTAGTCAATAACGGAATAAGTCAAATAACCAGAATGGATCTGAAGTATTTTGCGTAGACAACTGTGAATAAACAACTGTATCTTCTACATAATGGCTTTCATAGTTCGCCAGGTTTCCGCCCTATACAGTAGAACTGTCTTCACATTTGTATTGAAAATTCTGACCTTAGTGTTGGTTGGCAATTGTTTTAAGTTCCAGTTGTTCTTCAGTTGTAAACATGCTGCTCTTGCTTTGCCGATCCGTGCCTTCACATCTGCATCAGGTCCACCGTGTTCATCGATAATGCTGCTCAAATATGTAAAGCTTTGTACATCTTTCAAATCTTCTCCATCAATTGTGATTGGATTGTTGCATGCTGTATTGTATCGGAGAATCTTACTTTTCCCTTTGTGTATATTGAGACCTATTGCTGCTGAGGCTGCACCTACACTGGTTGTCTTCTCCTGCATTTGTTGTTGCGTTTGCGATAGAAGAGTTAGATCATCTGTGAAGTCTAGATCATCCAATTGCATTCTAGATGTCCACTGTATCCCGTGCTTCCCTTCAGTTGTTGACGTCTTCATGAATAATATTGGTTAATTAATCATTAATTCAAGTTGAATACTTATGTATAAACTAGTTATATATAGTATTGTCTTTTATGTGTTTTTGGGTACCATAATAGTTATCTTATGGATTGTAAACTCTTTTAAAAAATGGTTCAAACATCATATGAAGCATATGATGTTAGGTGTATTTCATTTTAAAATTATCAAGAGTCTTTAACCATAGTTGCTAGGATGATTCAAGAAAAGGAAAACAATTTGTATTTTGATGTGTCGACTCACTTGTAGAAGCTGATTTACAATCTTTGAATGTAACACAATTAACCTCATTGTCCTGTCTTATTGATGGATAAAGATGAAATGCAGTTTAACCATAGTTTATAATATAATCTTGTTATTAGTTATATTTATCAAGCTTTAACAATACATATATTATGATGAGTATTACATTGACAATTATATATGCTTTTATTTTGAGTTAAGATGGTGATTACAAGTAGTTTACAGGAAATCTTGTACCTAGGATCTCAACATAGTGCATTCAATGTCGAGTCACCTATATAGACTGGTGGTGACATTGAAACTTGGTTGATAGAATTCGATCTGTACTAAGAAGAAGGACTTGATATATATCATATTGATCATCATTCAGTGATCAATCAATTGTAAATACATCTTAGTTCTGCAGAAAATCAGTCGCGTCCCGGATAGCTCAGTGGTAACGTTTAGGTTTTATTTTATTTCATTTGAACACATATATACTGGTACAAGAGGGCATCAAATACATATTCGCCACAGAGATCTCATTTAATTTATGTGAGGGCTGTGATACTGCCCGGGTGCCCAAACCGAAGCAGGTGGTTTTCTTAGGAGGCCACACCCCGAGCCTTCGACCTGAATGTCTGACCCACAGGGCAGTGGAGTATTGTGAGGAGATGCAGTCCCATGGTAGTTGGTGACCGAAAATTGGTTCATACGCCATTTATTCCTTCAGGATACTGGAGTTAGCCCATGTACACCATTGATTTGGGATCCGGTTAAAGCGCCGGACATTCGCTTTTCGTTCTCTCATTTTCGTAAATAATACCCTCGCCACGAGAATGCAGTGAGTAGGACTTCTCTGGCAGAGGCTATATACGCGTGGTGGTCACGTGAGGGCATTTCGAGAGGGAGAGTCAACTCTCCGCCGTATCAGGGCATTTAGGTGCTAAAAATAAAACATAAACGTTACCACTGAGCTATCCGGGCCACGACTGACTTTCTGTAAAACTGAGATGTTTTTACAATTGATTGATCACTGGATAATGAATGTGAACCTGGGTAACACGGCATCGTATCCATCAGGGAGCATCAGTTCTCTCAACATTATAGTTACATGTTGCTGACGAGTGTCAAGTAGCATAAAACCTATGTCCAGGGTTTCCTGTTGACTACCTTCAATCACCATCTTATCTCAACGTAGTGCACGTAATATCGAAACACCTAGACTGGTCGATAGGATTCGATCTGTACTAAGAAGGACCTCATATATATATATATATATATATATATATATATATATATATATATATATATATATATATATATACATATATTGTTCATCATTCAGTGATCAGTAGGTTGTAAATACATGCTATTATCATTTATGATATATTTTGTTAATTTTCTTTTTCAGAACAATTCATGGACTTGTATACAATGCTCTTAAATTATTCATGGAAATGAATCAAAAACTTTTTGATACTTGTACACAACGATATAAAGAAGAAAGACAAAAGTTAGTTAATTCTTCTTCTTCTTTTTATTGTGCGATAAATAGTGACTTGAATGCTGTTAGAAGTATGAGGGCGGTATTAAGGAATGATGGTAAATCAGTTGATAAGATTATGAATCGTCATCGACTGAGATGGTTGGGCCACGTGCTGCGTATGCCTGAACACAGTTTACCATGACGCGCAATGCTAACCGGTGTTGGGGATAATTGGAAGAAAGTTAGAGGCGGCCAAACCAAAACGAGACATCAGTGCTTGGAGTCACTAACTTCTGGTCTGAGCCATGTTGTTAGATGCAGACTACTTGTTTGGGGTCCGCATGACTATCGTGACCAATGGTTAGTGACTGTGTGTTACATGGCTGAGAATCGATCAAAATGGCGTCGGTGTATACACTCTCTGTCTTCCTTTAAACTATGAGATTAAAATCGCTTCATATGTTTCTACGAACTCACTATTTCTTTCTATACTATGTCGTTATATGCAATCTTTCCCTTATATATTAACGCCATTGAATTAACTACTTCTATGAATCCGGCGTTCATCTTGTTGTGCTAATGCGATATGGCAACTTGAACCGATGTATATATGTTCCTGGTCCTACGTTTCAGCTGACTGACTGACTAAATAGTGACTAAAGATGGTTGATACAGTCAACAAACTATAAGACTGTGTATCTTGATATCATAAGTCTCTTAAAAACTCTTATACAATGCTCCATCTCATATAGTTGGAAAGTACTGTGACAAATAATGATCCATATAATAATAATGGAACAATTCAGTTATCGATTATCTTAGAATCGGATCGTACCCATCGTTAAAGTTTCAAGTGTAAGGAGTGATTTATCGAGTTCCCATTCACTATAATAACATGGAACGATATGAATTTAATCCCTAAATCATAACTTTAGCATTTCCTTGTCAGATATCATAGAGAATAACTTTCCTAAATGGTATATGAACTCGTGTGTTCGACAATGTTTACTATAATCTGTATTATATAATTGAAGGATTGATTTATCCACCTATATTATCTAGTATCATGATTATTATTAATTAATGGTTTTATATGAGAACACTGACTCAAAGAGAGGGATATAATGATAGGGATCAATACTAGACATCTGTTTATTCACGAGGCAGTTTTCACACGCTCATTTGCCGATAACTAGAATATGTACACAACAAAGTACAGTTTAATTATATGATTAAGATCATTCATCATGGAGTAAGAAATTACAGCATTGACAGAATGGTGCCATAAAGTAAGTGAACAAAAACTTGAAAAAACTGTCACGTACAATAATAGTTTATGCATTAAATGAAAGATTACAAGTAGTAGATGAATACAATACGATACAATAACCCAAGTGATTTAGTTAGTTATTTAGTTACGTTAAAATAAGTTACTTCCCCAATGTTCACCACATTATGGAAGTTCTAGTAAGAAGTCGTTACCAGTGGAGTTCAACCAGGTCTATTGTGAGATATCAGCTCACTGAAGACAATGGTGTACGGTGGCGCAACTTTGTGGATTGGTTGAAGTTAGACATTAACAGCATTTGATGCCAGCCGGCTCAGTGGTCTAGTTGGTTAAGCGCCTGACGCGAGACTGATATGTCCTGGGTTTGAATCTCGCGGGTAGCGGGATCGTGGCTGCGTACTGCTGAGGAGTCCCATACTAGGACGAAACGGCCGTCCAGTGCTTCCAGGTTTTCCATGGTGGTCCAACTTTAATTGACTCATGATTTCAACCAGTGAGATAAATAAAAGCCAATATGTAAAATAAACACGAATCTCCATATTCCTAATCGAAATGGAAATATATAAAGTTACCATTATATTCTTAGTAGTCATGTAAATTACTCACTTATCAGCACAGGATTGTGGAGATTGTTATGTTTATGATTAAGATCATGAATCGATTGCTGTTAGACCACCATTGAAAATCTGGAAGCACTGGACGACGGTTTCAACGCATTGATGAACTCCTCAACAGTGCGAACCCAGAGCGGTGTCGTGTATGTGCACCGTTGACGACTCGCGTGTTAGGACGAAACGGCCATCCAGTGCTTCCAGATTTTCAATGGTGGTCTAACATCAATCAGTTCATGATCTCAATGAAATTATTTACTTATTTAGATAGCATAAACAAGTTCATTTATGATGATGATCCATTGTTTGAGCTTGTCTATATGTGGTTTACTTATTTGCGTCAAATTTTACATACTTTTCTATTTTACTTTGATATGAAGCATTATGTTTCTTTCTATGGTTATAGACCTCAGAATTTACGCTTTTGACATTGTCCAGTAATGTTGTAATTCTTTATTGTTGTTAATTATTTTGTTTGCATTTTAGAAGTAGAGAAGAAGCTAAACGTCGTGAACGTGTATGGGCTACATTAAGTGAAACTGCCAAAGGTAATCCATTATACGCTGTGGTTATGAAAGAAGCATCAGTTTCAAATAGAGAATTACCAAATTCAGTTGCGTCTAATTCCATTTCATCATCATCATCATCTCCCATGGGTGACCATTGTGTAAATAATGGGACTCCATCTACAACTAGTAACAATATTGATAATGATGATGGTTCTCTTGGTCAAGATGAAGATGTTAGCGGTTCATTGATGAATCTTCAACGTGAAGCGGAAGATGATGTATGTAAAATGGAATTTAATGCATTATATTAAATACTATAGAAGATTATAACGTTGACATTTAATCAGTTTTAAAATTATTTACTATTTATATTTATTAAGTCTGATGCACTAATCGCTTGAGCTACTGATTTCCAGACTCCTATAATATTTGATACTTCAGTTTTTGTTGATTTCAAGAAGTGAAATCACCTGAGCACCTCTGGGGCTACTACCGCCTGTTGCAAGCCTCGTTAAAGAAGGAGGGTTGCGCATGGCGTTAGCGACCTCATCCTGTAGGAAACTAACTCGCTAAAAAAAACGCTAACCAGAAAAAATAATTCAAACCGTTTAAAATCTGTCCTGGGAGTTAGAAGAGTTATGATATTTCATGATGAAAGCCAAGTTCCTGCGGAAGTGATGAGTCTGATGCCCCTTCTGATGACAACTAGAGCAACCATTCATTTAGGTACATGGAATATTCGTATAATATGGGAGACCAGGAGAGTCTTCCAAATCGCTGCAAAAATGAAGAGATACCAGAAGTATACAATCGAGCTAAAACTCTCCATCCCTTCAAAATGTTTGAGGTTTCTATACAACTTTTAGATTGATTTATGTAATACCAATTGACAAGTGAACGTAGATATTTTATCACAATGAGACTTTCCCACAGTTATAAATAAGAAACATCTCCAACCATTGGTTACGATAGTCACGCGGACCCGAACCATGTAGTATGCATCTACGAACTTGACTCGGACTAGAAGTTAGTGAATTCAAACTCGGATGTCATGTTATGGTTTGGCCGCTCCTAACTTCTTTCTAACTGTTTCCAACACTAGTCAGCATTGTGCGTCTTGTTATTTGATTTTCAGCCATACATAACACATGGCTCAACCATCTCAGTTGATGAACATACACAACCTCATCTATTGATTTACCATCATTCCCTAATACCCTGTGTCTAATCCTTGTTTCGTTTACATCAAACAATTACAAGTAATTATAGATTTATCGTTTATCTAATTTATTTTTTTTTTCAGACGGAACTTCGTGGTATCATTAATGAACGACGTCGTGATAAACTTCCTATGATTCAACGAAAATCAGAGCTTCCTCATAGTCAAACTACTCTTCGTGCTCTTGAACAACATCGTCGTCCAGATGAGTATTTAAAAACTCAACCGGATAGTTAAAGTTTACAAGAAGAAAAAAAATGACTATTTTTTTTCTAAAACTAAAATAATCAACATTATTATTATTAGCTAAGTATCCCGGTCTCAACAGTTTTTGTTTTTGGCACACACACACACACTGCATACATACATACATACATACATACATGCATACACACACACACACTTGTGAATGTAAAAAAAATACAAACATATAGTATAGAGTATATGCTTCAGTTGTTTTTTTCCCCTCCACAGATATAGCAAACTGTTGAGATGTCACTTTCTCTAAAACTCTTCAGTGTTAATTCTATTTAGTTAATTCATCCGTTTATCTTGTGTGTTTGTTTGTTTCTATGACATTTATTGTCGCCGTCGTCGTCTTCGTTGTTGTTGTTACACAATGAATATTCTTTTCATTGTTCCTTTTTTTGTGTTTACTATGGCCTTTCAATCTTCTTCTTGTTCTAATCATTTGACATGCTTGTATTATGTTTAATCATCTTTCCACCCCTCTCTGTCCACCCCACCCCACCCCCCTCCGTTTTTTTCCAGCACAAATATCAAATAATGATGAAACAATAAAAAAAAGTAAGATTTCACTTTAACTCCGTATTCCAGTTTATTGTTTTACTCCTTTTTCTTGTTTGTGTGTTTGTTTGTTTGTTTATTTTACTTGTTTCATATTTAAAATCAATTTGTTTAGGTAAGTATACTATAATTACTAAGTAAAATGTGTCATATTATATAACTTCCAATAATCTTGGATAGAAACTAACGTGTGTTTTGTTTGTTTATTACTTTTTCTTCCCCCTTCCCCCCTCCTTTATTATTATTATTATTATTATTATTATTATTATTTAATTTTGACTTGAACTGATCAAGTTCACATATGAATTGTGCAAACATTGATAACCACCTAGTCATAAGTAGGAATATTTTTTATTATTATTGTTCTATCTATATTATTATAACTTTGAATAGGTATGTTGTTTCTCAGGTCACTTACTTTCTCTCTCTCTCTCTGTCCCCCCCGTCTCTCTATCTCTCTCTCTCTTTAACATGTATCACTGATTGATTGATTGATTGATTAAAGTGAATAGGTAACATTTGTCTGTTGTGAATATGTGATCTTGTTTATTTTTGTTTTTGTTTTATTATAATAAGTTTCAATTTGTCTATTTATATTCTTATTAATAATTTGATCAATTTCTATTTTTCAGTTAATAAGTAGTATCATTTTATTATTAGATGGTGGTATACATGTAATTGTTGATTATATATGTAGTGTAACTTGTTCTCTTTCTATTTTGTCTTCTTTTTGTTCTTTTTATTATTCTTATTTCATTTTTACAACAGACAACATTTATTGCATATATTTGTGTAATCATTTGTATTCAAATAACTGATATACATATATATATATATATATATATTAAGAAACAAGCCTAACAACAAATAGCTGATTTATAGTTGAAGTTGTTTTTCACGCTCAGGATCAGACTGCACTGTTCATCATCGCGGTTGGTTGGCCAGGATCAAGTTTGTTTGACCTCCTGGTGATATGTACTATAGGACTAATCCCCTCAAATACCGTGGTACGGCCGAGAGTGGGGTTGATCAGCCCTCCCACTCGAAATCCTCTCACATGACCACGCGTATATAGCCTCTGACAGGGAAGTCCTACTCATTGCCTTCTCACAACAGGGGCGTTGTTTACGAAATTGACAGGACGAAAAGCGAATGTTCGGTGCTTTAACCGGATCACAAACCAATGGTGTACATAGACTGGCTCCAGTATCCTGAAGGAACAAATGGCATATGAACCAATCGTTGGTCAACGGCTACCATCGGACTGCATCTCCTGACGTTGCTCCACTGCCTTGTGTGTTAGACCTTTAGGTTAAAGGCTCGGGGTATGGCCTCCTTAGAAAACCACCTGCTTTGGTTTGGGCACCCAAACAGCGCTCATGAATATCAAATGAGATCTGTGTGGCGCAAATGTATTTGGTGCCTCCTTGTACCAATATGTATGTGTTAAAATAAAATTAGGTTCTTTACTGTGTAATAACTTGATAACACATTAGGTTGAGTATATTTATTTAAACATATAAATATTGATATAAGAAGGCAGCCGGGAAGTGGCATCAGCCCTCATACCCGTAACAGCACACGAGACCACGTTGGTCACATTCAAATCCTTCGTACACCTCCTAATAACTCCCTTATCTCCACGACTAACCCTTCTTACGTTCCTTTATCACCTCGCTCCACTAATGCAAACGATTCGAGTACGCGGAATGTTATTCCTGGTCTCCTGATACCACGCTCTAAACTACACATAGGAGCTTTCAACGTCCAAACACTGTGCCAAATAGGACAACAGGCTTCCTTAGTTAGGACTTTAGAATCTCGCTCCATCTATGTTTGCTGCGTCTCCGAAACGCGCACACAGGATCCGAGTAGTGTCATTCATTTGACCGCACCATGTCAAAGTAACAAACCAACTCGATTTACGCTCCGTGTATCTGGAAGCCCTGATGCTGCTTCCCGTGGCCTCGCTGGCGTAGGTATAGCATTCAGTCCTAGGGCGGAACTAGCTCTCCTAGACTGGATCCCAGTAGACAGTCGTTTGTGCGCTGTCCGACTAAACGGAACAGTAAGGACTCGGAACTATAGGGACACTCGTCGTTGCCTCTTCGTCGTCTCTGCCTACTCTCCCACTGACTGCAGCTCAGATTATGTAAAAGATGAGTTTTACAGAAAGCTTCTCCGACAAGCTAGGCGTTCCGATGTAGTAATAGTGGCTTGTGACTTTAATGCTCAAGTAGGTAAACTAAGCGAAAGGGAAAGACACCTGGGTGGATCTTATGGTGTCGCGGCTCAAAGAACAGATAACGGCGACCGTCTGTTGCAGCTGTGCTCAGATAACCGCCTGTTTCTTGCAAACACTAACTTTAAGCATAAGGAAAAACATCTTTTGACATGGCGACCCCCTAATTCGTCACAACGCTGGACCCAAATAGATCACATCGCTATCAGCCACCGATGGAGGGGCTCGATAGAAGACTGTCGCTCATTCTGGAGCACATGCTTAGACTCAGATCATGCTCTAGTACGAGCGCGTATTTGTCTACGTCTTACTGGACGTAGGAAATATGGTGTAAAGAAACCCCTTAGGCTCCTTCTTAATGATAGTCAAGCCAAGAGTATATTTCAAAAACAACTAGAAAAACAGTTAGGCAGCTATGTAACTGATGCCCACATCGATACAGTGTGGAATGACATCCGAAAAGCTGTAGAAACAGTAGTGATGTCTGCATGTACTGTAAATCGTAAGGTTAGGGAGAAACACTGGATCTCAGCAGCGTCTACCGCACTGATAGATGCTCGTAAACTCATTCCATATGGCTCTAAACATAATGAAGAGCGGAGTCAGCTTAAGCGTAAGCTGACTAGAAGCTTACGCAATGATCGTGAACAGTGGTGGGTAGCGAAAGCAAGAGAGATGAAAAAGGCAGCGGCAATAGGTGACAGCAGGCAACTGTTCAGACTTGTTAAGGAAACCGGTATTAGGAACCCAACTGTTAGCGAAACAATCGCAGAGAAAGATGGGCATATTATTCAATCTCAATCCAGGAGATTGGATCGATGGGCACAATACTTTAGGGATCAGTTCAACTGGCCTTCAGCCACACTTCGGTTTCCCACGATCCCCAGTCGACCTGAATGGCAAGTTGATGTAAGTCCTCCGACTCTTTGCGAAGTTGAAAAAGCTATAGGAAATTTGAAGCGTGGGAGAGCAGCAGGCCCTGACAGGTTTACCCCTAAGATTTTTAAGGATGGAGGTCCAGTATTAGCAGCGAGATTGACTGAGGTCTTAGGTAGAATCTGGGAACTGGACGTAATCCCATCTGACTGGTCTCAATCACTGATTGTGCCAGTCTATAAGAAAGGACAAAAGTGCTGTTCGTCAGGACTGTCCACTCTCTTCATTTTTGTTTAACTTTGCCGTTGATGTGTTTTTTAGAAATAACACTTTCCTCATCTAAATTTCCAGGAGTTGAACTTTAACCGGGAGATTCACTTGTTGAATTAGAATATGCCGATGTCATAGTTCTATTTGGTGAAGACGCTGACAAAATGCAGAGTCTGCTGACCACTCTAAGTAACAATGCAGGCATGTTCGGAATGCGATTCTCTCCCTCAAAATGCAGAATGTTGCTTCAGGATTGGGTTGCATCGGCAACCGAACTAGTGATAGGGAGTGAAGTTGTTGAGCGTATCGACCGCTTCACTTATCTTGGGAGTCTCATCAGCCCTTGTGTTCTGGTGTGTTACGAAATCTCAGCACGGATACAGAAGGCTCGATTAGCTTTTGCCAACTTGCGTCATTTGTGGCGTAGGCGAGATATCCGTCTAGTAACCAAAGGACGTGTTTACTGCGCAGCAGCTCGTTCCGTCCTACTTTATAGTAGTGAAACATGGCCGGTAAGAGTAGAGGATATTCGTAGGTTACTAGTAATCAGTCATAGGTGTCTTCGAAACATTGCTCGTATATCCTGAGACCACCGAGTAAGTAACTCAGTTGTTAGGAAACAGGTACTAGATAAGGATCGTAAATCAATTGTAATTTGTCATTTGTAATGCGTTGCAACAGCGAGACTATAATTTATGGACGAACCAATCAGATATAAGATGACAGATCTCGGATTTTTGGCGCGAAATTCACTCATTCATTTGGCCAAATAGATTTATTGCATTATAGCTGATATCAGTTCGTGATTAAAACCCTAATCATCGACTGTATATCATAATTCAAATTCCCCACACTGATTTACAACCCTCATTTGATCTTAGTTGTTAGGTGGACATTCTCAAGGTCAGTGTAGCGATGCATGAAGGTCATCCATAAATTACAGTCTCACTCGTTGTAACTATGGAGTTTTAAAAGGAATAATATTCAGTTATAACCACACAGACACACGGACCCAAGTAGGTGTATTACATTAGTAGTTGAGCGTGTCTCATCAGCTCTTGTGGTCTGGTGTGTTACGAAATCTCAGCACGGATACAGAAGGCTCGATTAGCTTTTGCCAACTTGCGTCATTTGTGGCGTAGGCGAGATATCCGTCTAGTAACCAAAGGACGTGTTTACTGCGCAGCAGCTCGTTCCGTCCTACTTTATAGTAGTGAAACATGGCCGGTAAGAGTAGAGGATATTCGTAGGTTACTAGTAATCAGTCATAGGTGTCTTCGAAACATTGCTCGTATATCCTGAGACCACCGAGTAAGTAACTCAGTTGTTAGGAAACAGGTACTAGATAAGGATCGTAAATCAATTGTAATTTGTCATTTGTAATGCGTTGCAACAGCGAGACTATAATTTATGGACGAACCAATCAGATATAAGATGACAGATCTCGGATTTTTGGCGCGAAATTCACTCATTCATTTGGCCAAATAGATTTATTGCATTATAGCTGATATCAGTTCGTGATGAAAACCCTAATCATCAACTGTATATCATGATTCAAATTCCTCATACTGATTTATAACCCTCATTTGATCTTAGTTGTTAGGTGGACATTCTCAAGGTCAGTTTAGCGACGCATGAAGGTCATCCATAAATTACAGTCTCACTCGTTGTAACTATGGAGTTTTAAAAAGAATAATATTCAGTTATAACCACACAGACACACGGACCCAAGTAGGTGTATTACATTAGTAGTTGAGCGTGTCTCATCAGCTCTTGTGGTCTGGTGTGTTACGAAATCTCAGCACGGATACAGAAGGCTCGATTAGCTTTTGCCAACTTGCGTCATTTTTGGCGTAGGCGAGATATCCGTCTAGTAACCAAAGGACGTGTTTACTGCACAGCAGCTCGTTCCGTCCTACTTTATAGTAGTGAAACATGGCCGGTAAGAGTAGAGGATATTCGTAGGTTACTAGTAATCAGTCATAGGTGTCTTCGAAACATTGCTCGTATATCCTGAGACCACCGAGTAAGTAATGCAGTTGTTAGGAAACGGGTACTAGGTAAGGATCGTAAATCAATTGATGAAGTAGTGAAACGTAATCAGTTGAGATGGCAAGGACATGTGTTACGCATGCCAGACCACAGACTGCCCCGACGTGCGACGTTTTGTGGTGTAAGAATAGGTTGGAAGAAAGCTAGGGGCGGTCAGACCAAAACATGGCACAAATCCATGAAGTCAGTGACAAGTGGACTGAGCCATATTGTTAGGTGTAGACTACCTGTTTGGGGACCGCCAGATGATAGCAACCGATGGTTAGAGACCTTGAATGACATGGCTCAAAATCGTTTGCAATGGTGTGCGCAGGTGCATCCACTATCTGTGCTCTCCCAAACTCTAATCTTCTGAATTCTCCATGTCCTTTATTTTCTTTCCAAATCTATTCCACTGTACTATACTCCTTAAATAACATCATCAAACCCTAATGTTTCCTGTCACTACTTATACATTCACTACTCTGCCACTACGGAATTTGAGACGATAACTGAATCTCTGTGTTAATGTGGTATGGCAACTCGAACTGACGTACGTACGTACGAAGTTCCACGTTGTTTCCGACTGACTGACTGAGGCATTTGTCCCCTTAGGATCTTAGAGTCAACTGAGGTGCACTATTGGTTTGAAATTAGGGTTTTCCAAC